ACATATTATAGGGCGATGCATGCCGACCGAATGATCAAACAACATATGGCAGGATCCTATACTGATGGAGCGTCCACTGAGCCATCGACGACACCCTCGCAGCTGTGTCGGCCAAGTGCCAGCTCATCCGCAAGGCTCACTCCGAAGGGTGGGTTGCAGAGGATTGTGTCTGCCCCTCCCATCTCTCAAGATATTTTGCCCGACTCGAATAATCCTCAAAGGCAATTCACACAGATTTTTATTTCTCTGCTAAGTATGTTTCGTAGAATAGTAACATGTGCAAGTTCATTACTCATCACGGATCTAGGCGAACATAATGCGGAATGCACCACTGTTTCTTGGACGACGTGGCCCAACATGGCATTCAAATTGAAGAAGGTCATCGTCGGGTGGGACTCCGATGTGGTTGATATAGCTTTCTGTAGGGCTTTCGCATATGGGAAGATCAGTAACAAGCAGTGGCGCCATCTCTCGAGACTCATTCTCGAAGGTGTTCTCACTATCAAAGACTGGACAGCAGGTAAGCGAGCTTTGTTCGCCAATTAACTCGTATGTATTCACGACATTCTTTAGAGCAGAAACAGATTCCTGAAACCGATGCTCGCTTTGGCGAAATTCCCGTCGTTCTCAACTTGCGTGGCTTGCCTATGGTGTTTATCAAAGACTCCTCCAACTGGGTGCGCCAGAACTGCAAAATTGACTCAGCAACTCCATATACGCCATGCGCTCCCTCTGCTGCTTCCTCTCCCGCTCTTCTTTCATCCAAGAAGCGCACCTACGAGGATCTGTCCCTGGTTACTGAAGAGAATGCAAGGAGAGAGCATCGTAGTGTTTCCACTCCTGCGCAAAATGAGATGGAACCGTCGGCAAAGCGCCAGCGTCACGTTACGTTCTCCTCTCTTCCGATGACCATGTTCTATATGAAACATCGGCAAGAACAGTTATTACAGAAGAGTACAGCTCGTCATTCACCATTCAACCAACCCTCTTCATCGTCATCGAGCCAAGCTACCCTCGCTTCAAAGCCACCTGCAAACCAAGTCACCAAGTCTATCTTAGGAGGTCGTTACAAGGGCAGTGACCAGTCCTAGTAAAAACTCTACTGGTTTCCTGAAAGATTGATCATGCATCGGTTATCCTATGATGAGGCAAGTCTTTTCTTCTTTCCATGTACTTCCACGATACTGATTGATCTCAAGACTGCTTGACTACTAAGCTCTTGAACTCTTCATTTACCTTGGCTTATATAACTTTTGACTTGTTAGCACCTTGAACACTTTCATTACGTACCATAACTGGGGTTTTTTTGGAGGGATCTTTTATTGCCCATAATGCTTCTTTAACTTTTGGACTTTTAACTTCCCTTTAGTTGCGACAATGATATTTCACAGTTTACTTTACTGATTGTCTTATAGTTACATAGATTACCCTACTTTGGCTTTAAAGTATTCACCATTTCTTACAGACTGAAGATATTATTGTCCTATTTTCATTCCTTCCTCAATAGATTCAACAACTTTCTGAATATATTTAATGTTTGGAATATATACAGGCTTTTAAATCTATAGTTAAATACCCTTCTGAATATATTCAGCCCTATAGATTTTATGTAATTCAAGGACTGAATATTATATAAAAGCTATACATATATTCAGAGAAGGGGTGCTGAATATATCACCCCTCTGAATATATTTAGTCTTTGAATCTATAGAGCTGAATATATTAAATATCCTTCTGAATATATTCAGGGACCTTTGGAATATATACAGTTCTCTAAATATATACAGTTCTTGGGATATATTATGTACCACTCTTCAGAATCTATACAGTATCTTTTCCAATCTATACAACAATCTTTAAATATATTCTAGGGAAAAAGTAAATATATTTAACATCTGTCTAAATATATTGGAGGAATGCCAAAAAGAGTGAATACTCTTCCACAATTATACAACAACTTCATCTTAAAGAAGAAAGCTACATATATCTGCTGAACATCCAAGGGCAGGCTTCAGTAGGTCCCCTCATGAGTAATTGTGAAAATCAGAAAGCTTGCTGAGTAAAAATCTCTGCTCAGTATTATTAATTTTAATTGCATACAATCATGTACCTCCTACCCCACTCAGTGTCTCTCTCACCATTATTAATTATTACTTAAATCTCTGCTCAGCTCCTTCAATTTTAAATACATGCAACTACATGCGCCCTTCCACACTCAGTGCTTCTCTCACTATTATTCTTACTTATCCAAATCTCTCCTCAGTATCTTCAATTGCCTCTTGAATCCCACTACCAGTTGTGAGTATAAGGTAGGATATTGGAAGGACATTAGATACAGCAGCTGGTAGGTTTACTCTTCTATTTTGGACATAGATAGGAACCCTAACTTCAGGTTCCTTACTTACTTTTTTGCATCAATACTACCATCTGTGCCTTACATCCTTTGACTAGTGCCCATGTCACACAAGCCTGAAGGGCTTTTGTTCTATCATCAACACATCAAGCCAGCTGAGCACCCTGCCATGTGCTCACTGGCAAGAAGTGAGCACTGACATGTTGTCAGCCATCCATGTCTTCTCCTCTGAATTTCACACTGAGACAAGTCTTTGAGCACTAGTATTTCAGTCTTGTAGTTTAATCCCACTATTACTCTGCACTGGCACTCACTTCAAACAGAAATTAGGCTCTTGCACTTATTGTTATCCTCCCAAAAAATGTGTGATGTGATTCAAAAAGGTATAAAGGCTACCATACAAATTATAAACCTGAGTATTGTAGGAGAAAATTGAAATAAGTGAGATACATTGTGTCAATGTCCCATCATCCCAGCTTCCCATGCCATTTGACTTCAAACAGAAATTAAGCTCTTGCACTTATTTTTATTCTTCTAAAAAATGTTTCAAGTAACTCTGAAAGGTATAAGGCTACTATACAAATTATAAACCAGAGTATTGTAAGAGTGAATTGAATTGAGATGCATCCACAATTTTCAATAATACAGCCAAACAATATGAATGGCTGGCACAAGTGCAGAGCATTGGTTAGAGGCTCTGTGTATTCTGATGTTCTATGCCAAATATCTAAGAGCAACCTTCATTACCAAATCTATAGTAACCTCAATGAAGTTGGCCATGTAGGGAGGACATCACATGACTTCATGCACAAATGGCTGGCACAAGTGCAGGAGATTGGTTAGAGGCTCTATATTCTGAAGAAATTTTCAGAGGACACTATTGTAAATTCTGATGCTCTATGCCAAATATCTAAGAGCTAGCTTTAATACTGAACCAGAAGTAACTTTGTTGTATGGGATAGGATGTATCAATGGCAAGAAGTTATTCTGTTCTGCTGAATATAATGCAACTTCTTTTTGGGAGGGTAGGACACCTGCCAGCTCTCAGATAAAATCTATTCAAAGATGAAAACTGTATAAAGCAAAAAAGAATTCATTTAGTAGTGTGACATTTTGTGACATTTTATGCTCTTGGCTCCAAAAAGATTTATTCAGCCTAAAAAATTATATCCAGTGGTGAAAACATAGAATATATTTAATTCAGAGTCTTGGCACTTGAAAGATTTATTTAGTGCAAAAAAATAGATTCAGTATTGTGACAGGTAATTGTGTGACACTTCAACTTAGAAATACAAAATAGATACAGTAGATTTATTCAGTACAGTAAATAAATACAGTACTACTATTAGTCATGTAATATATACTGAAATTACATGACTAATAGTCAGTAGTCAGTGGGTGACTGAAGTGATTCACCAATGCCAGAAAGTCTAGAAACTTCATTGGCCTCAGTTCTCAATTCAGTTTTTCAATCCCGTCCCATATCATCCCCTCACCTTGGGACTGTTAATCCCTCTCATATCTCCCTCCCGCTCAATGTGTTGGGAAAAAATCTTTCAGGCAAAGAAGATATTGAGATGGGCGCCCTTAGTGAATTATCATCGTCATCTGAAGACGAAGATTCTGGTGGGTTGACATGTTACCTTTTTCTTGCATTTATGATCCGATAAAAATCAATGTTTACTGTATTCTAGAGCATTCGCCAGCTAGGCCTGCGAAAAAAACAAATCCTGAGGTGCAACCGTCTGACAATGACAATACCGACGATGAAGGTGAGGCAGGAGCTGTGTTTTTGCTTTTGTTTTCTGCTGAAGCTCATCATTGCCAGAATCTTCATTGTCATCATCAGATGAGTCTACAGACAGTGGTGTCAAGAAGCCTATTGGGAATACCTCAGGCAACAGGGGTGGAAGGGGTGATCCTGGAAACTTGAAGAAACCCAGGGTTGGCTCATCAAAGGTAGACACTAAGGGACCCAAAGCGGAGGGTTCCCAAGCAACTGGTGGCAAGGATAATCCTAGGAAACGCTCTCGATTCGGTTCTATTGGGAATTCTCCAGATAAGCCAATCAATGTTGATGAGTTTCTCTCAATGTTTGAACCTGCAATACTGCACGATTATGTGCGTTTCATTTGATTTCAGTCTTGTCCATGCTAATCAGCTTTACTTGTGGGTGTGGGCCAGTGCTTTGCATGGCATGTATGAGTCCTTTCTGTGGACTCTAAATTTAATATTAGGAAATTGGTCATGTAATCACTTTACGATTTTCTGAGTTTTGTTCTATATTTGCAAATAGACCCTGAGCTCTGAGCCTAGCCATCAATATCATAGCAACAATGTGTGCTATTATTATTATTATTATTATTATTTCATTTTATAGCAAATTTTCCCAATTTTATAACTATTTTTCTGTTTATGGTAAAATATTCCCACAGTCCTGTTTGCATATATCTCAGGAAAGAGGATGGTTAGTTATATTTTGTGACCTATAATAGCATGCTCTATATATTTGTGATGAATTTCCTTTTTTGGGTTAAATTTCCCACAGTATCAGAAACACAGCCTCTCACTTAGCTCCATAAACAACAATTGTAGCCCCTTTCCTTACCTTTATAGATATATAAAAATAATGTCATGCAGACCATTCCTCATTGAGAAAAACACAAAATACTGAAAAAATTGGACACTTTTTGGAAATTGTCATGCAATATCTCAAAGAGCAAGAAGGCTGTAGCCATATTGCATAATATGACAATATTTTTACATAGTTGTCTTGATTTTCCATATTTGGATATGGACCCTGAATACTGGACACAGCCCCTTCAACACCATGGCAACAGAGAAGATCACTCTTAATTTTGGGATATTTTTTTCTGATTTTCTGGCAACTTTTAGGTGGTTTCTATATTTAGACATTGACCCTGAACCCTGAACACAGCCTCCCCACCTTACTAAACAATATTCTGATTTTTTACATATTTTTTGCTGATTTCTTTTACCATTTTTCCTGATTTTATGGCTGCTTTTCTGTTTAAGGGAAAAGGTTCCTGCGGTGATGAAAGGTAAATGAATCAATCAATCAATGAATGAAAATTTTGCCTAAGTCCTCAGTTGATAAAGAATGAGTCTTACTCGTAAACTCGTAAGGACTCATAATTTCTGATATTTAATGTTGCTAAACTCTTGGAGAGGCTGTATTCAGGGTCCAGGATACACTTCCAAATATGGGAATCTGCCCAAATATAGCTAGAAAATGATAAAGACATTAGTGTCTACAAGTTTCTTTATTTTTTCCTCATTTTCCAGCTATTTTCTATCAGTTGTTTTTTTTGCTCTGCCTATATTTAGATATGGACCCTGAACACAACCCCTTCAACATCATGACAACAGCAAATATCATTCCTATTTTTCTTCCCTTTTTTGGCTTACTTTATAATCATTTTACACAATCTTTCTGGCTTTGTTCTATTTTTAAACATGGACCCTGAACCCTGAACACAGCCCCTTCATGATCATGGCAATGGTGAATACCATACTTATTTTTCACTTATTTTTTACTGCTTCTCTGCCTATCTGTTTCTATTTTTCAGACAGCTTTCTATATTTGGATATGGTCCCTGAACCCTGGACACAGCCTCTCCAACTTACTAAGCAATGTTCTGATTTTCTACACATTTTTTGCCAATTTATATGCCATTTTTCCAGATTTTATGGCTGCTTTTCTGTTTAAGAGAAAAGGTTCCCGCGGTGATGAAAGGTAAATGAATCAATGAATGAAAAATTTGCCTAAGTCCTCAGTTGATAAAGAATGAGTCTTACTCGTAAACTTGTAAGGACTCATAACAAGTTCACTCTTTTCTATTGGAAAAATTTTGTAAGAGAGGCTCGAAATCCCTGGATGATTACAACAGAAAACGACACATCAAAGTCAGCTGTTTCTGATGAGAAAGAAATGCCAGAGAAAGTAGTATTGCAAAAATATGAGGGAATGTACATTGGATTGTCAAATGTTTATGATTATATTTACCGTCCTATTGCTTATGAGAAGATGTCTTTATATGACTGGATAAGAAAAGCAAAAAAAGAGAAACACACGAAAGAGGAGCAGCAGGAATTCGATGCTCACTATGACAAAAATGAAAATGAAGTTGAATCTGATGATGAATCAGTTACCGAAGGAGAAGATGAACTCAATTTCTTAGGTGGTGGAGCAACTACATGTGATATAGAAGATGAATCAATAGATGAATTGCTTGGTGAAGATTCTGATGATGAACTTAACAACTATGAAAATTTTTACAATGATGAACCTGATAGCCAAGAGTTTCTACCTGATCACCCTCAACATTGCACACACAAGGTAGTTGTTGTTGATGAGGAGAATGCTCTTATACCAAATTTTGTTGGCGGAGGCTTACCTCGCCGTGATCAAGGTGACAGAGAATATTACTGTTCTACTATGCTTTCTTTGTTCAAACCTTGGCGAAATGGCAAAGATTTGAAACTAGAAGATGAGTCTTGGGATGAAGCTTTTTGTGGCTATTCATTTTCAGCAAGACAACTTGAGCTTATGAATAATTTCAATATCAAGTATGAATGTAATGATGCCAGAGATGACTATTCTGCACAGATGAAGAAGAAAGGTGAAAGAGAAGGAATACTGGGCTCATGGGATGACACTGGAGGCAAACTTGATGCTAACTTTCCTGACTTTGGTGAAGATGGTCCATTGGATGTTGATGAATCGCTGTATATGTTGGGAGACCCCAATAGCATCAATAATCAGAAGCTTCATGAAATGAAGAGAATTGAGAATGTAGTTCAAAATGCAGGATGGCTTGATCCATGCATTGGCAATATTGATCCAGTGGATGTAAACTTCAAGCCAGAAAAAGAACGAACTGGATCTCAGTGGAATGTTCTTGTACAGTCACTAAAGAAACTCTTTCTTGAAACACGTTCAAAGAACCTTCCAGTGGCTAAAGCAGATAAAGAAAGAAATGGGACATCACAAAATGAAGTGGTTGTAGATGATATCAGCTACTTGGACAAAAAATTCAAAGCAAAGAAAGAAGAAGAACAGAAAATGATAGATGACATTGCCCAAACATTCAGTTTGAATGAAGAGCAGGAAAGAGCATTCCGAATTGTGGCCAACCATGCAACTATGAAAGAAAGTGAGCAACTTAAAATGTATCTGGGAGGTATGGGTGGAACAGGAAAATCTCAGGTTATAAAGTCATTAATAGCCCTCTTTGATAAACGTAATGAGGCACATAGAATTATGATATTGGCACCAACTGGATCTGCTGCTGCTCTATTGAATGGCTCAACATATCATTCAGCTTTAGGTGTAAAAAGTGTTTCCCGAAGAAACCATAATGAGAATTCAACTATGGCACAGGTCAGATCTCGTCTAGATGGTGTAGACTATATTTTTCTAGATGAAGTGTCTATGATCTCATGTTATGAGCTATATAAAATAAGTGCACAACTGGCCAAAGGAAGAAACAATATGGATGTACCCTTTGGTGGAATTAATATGATTTTTGCAGGTGACTTTGCACAGCTTATGCCAGTCCAAGGCCAGGCCCTTTACAATGGAACTGTTGGCACATCAGTGGATGCCTCCATGTCAGAACGTGGGCAGCAATCTGCTATAGGTAAAGCACTTTGGCACCAAGTGACTACTGTTGTGATGCTACGAAAAAATATGAGACAAAATACACAATCAGTGGAAGATGCCAAGCTAAGGACAGCTCTAGAAAATATGAGATATGCAGCATGTACTGTTGATGACATTATATTTTTAAGAAGTCGTGTTGCAGGAAGGTGACCTAACCAGCCAAAGTTGGCTGACAAACGTTTCAGAAATGTCTCTATCATTACTGCTCTGAACTCCCAGAAGGATCGAATTAATGAATTAGGTTCTGCACGTTTTGCAGCAGATACTGGCCAAACACTTACTGACTTTTACTCTGTGGATACACTGGGGGTTGAGTGTGATCCAGTCACTGGGAAAAAGCCTCATGGAAGACCTAAGAAAACTGCTGTATGCAAAACTATCAGTCCAAAGCTTCAAAATTTACTTTGGAACTTGCGCCATTCTGCCTCTGACCATGTTCCTGGAAAACTTTCACTGTGTATTGGTATGCCAGTTATAATACGAAATAATGATGCAACAGAATTATGTATAACAAAAGGTCAAGAAGGTCATGTCGTTGGATGGGATGCAAAGTTGGGCCCAAGTGGACAACAAATCCTTGAAACTTTGTTTGTAAAGCTTGATCGTCCTGCCAAGACAATCAAGATTGAGGGATTGCCTGAGAATGTAGTTCCACTAGTAAAGAACAGCAGGTCTATTGAATGTATCTGTCCAAGTGATGTTACTCTCACTATATCTCGTTCTCAAGTGTCTGTGCTGCCCAACTTTGCAATGACGGACTATGCATCACAAGGAAAGACTCGTCCATTTAATGTGGTGGATTTAAACAGCTGTCGTAACCACTTATCTTACTATACTGCTCTTTCTAGAAGGTAATTCCCACTTTCTCGATGGCTTCCAGAACCTTGTCCAGGTGAATGATATGTTCTTCATAGGATTTGGAGAATATTACTATGTCATCAATGTAAACAAGGCAGAATAACCATAAGTAGGGTGCCAAGATCCCTTGCATGACCCTCTGGAAGATGGATGGACCATTTCTCAAACCAAATGGCATTCTTTTGAACTGAAATAACCCTCTGTGTGTTCGGAAAGCAGTCTTCTCCACATCCTCTTCATGTAGCTCCAACTGAGTGAAACCTGACAGAGCATCTAATGAAGATAAGACCTGAGTGCCTGACAATGAAGAAAGGATCTCTGATTGACCTGGGATTGGGAATTCGTCGGGAATCGTAACCGCATTCAGCTTCCTGTAGTCGACGCAGAATCTCGGTTTACCATTGCAATACGCAATGACTACCGGCACACTCCACAGACTGATAGAAGGGTCAATCACGTGCTGCTCAAACCATTTATCCATTTGTTCATCCATCACACACAAGTGGCTACCACCTTTATCAAAAACTAAG